TAAGCAATCCTGAAAAATATTTGGGGGTGCTTAACTTTTTTCCAGGTGTATATATAAATCCCAAATTAAAGGTAATGAAATGTGTATATGATACTATTTTTAACAGGAGGTGGTCCGACAATACAGTAAAGAAGTTTAAGGGGGTCTGTTGGTTGGCAAAGTTTGGGAACCCCTGCCTTAGGCTAAATTTTAGCACATTATCTTGGCAATTAGTATGTCATTCAGAAATACAGTGGTTTTTTTTTGCTTCAAAAGACATTCTCAGGATTACTTCAGTGGCCTGGGTCAGTCTGTATTGATTAAGCAACTAGTTCATCCTTGGCCTCAATAAGCACCAAATTCTCCCCTATTCTTTTCTCCATGACGTTTTTCTCTTAAAATGAAAACCTAGGAAGTGATCCATATTGTTGCTGGAGCTGGATGATGATGATGCCTCTAATGAGCAATTGCCTTTGAGTCATATTGCACTAAATTTTGGTTAAAGGTTTCTTTGCTACATCTTGGATCAGCAAGAACAATGGAATTATTGTTGTAATGGAGATTTCAAAATGCTCCTTTCATGTTACTGCAGCCACTTCCACCAGTAAATTCATCAAATAGACTTTTTTTAACATCAGCTGGTGTTTTTGGATGCACTCTTTGGTAAATTATATATCTTTCTACTTAGTAGCTCAGTGAATTGTTGTTTCAAATCTTGTTTTCAAACTGTGGTCCCATTGTGGGTGTTGTAGTGAGCCAGATCTCATTTCAGGGTGTCTAATCTCCTGGCATTTCCCCAAATTTCTGGGACTTTGTGGTCTCAGTATCTAGGGTAGATAACTTAGAGTTGTTTTGGTTATCAAAGATGCCAAAGGAAAGAACCAAATGTTTGCCTACCTTTGAATTACTTTGGACATCCTCTAGTAGTCAAGAGTCAAGTTACCATTCATCTCCTTCAACATTTCAACCTCTGAAATAAGATAGTCTTGAAAATGGGAGATAGAAGAAGTAAGTCCACCTCTATCAATATATAAGCACAGAGGTGCATTATCATTAACATACTCAATGGTTAATTGTGCTTTAACAATGTTCTCCAGCTCCACAGTAGGGTTGACATCTAGATCTCAGATATCCTCCATGATAGCAATATGTTGCAAGAGAACACACACAAAAAATATTCTAGTGAGTGCAGCCAGTACAATTATTAACTCGTTAACAAGTAAACACAATATAAAGTCAGAGCTGGGAGATCAATAATTCAAATTTCAACATAGAATGGTGATTGGCAAAACTAAGAATAAAACACAACTGATGTTTTCTGAAAATTTCCAAAGTGTAGCCAAAATTAAAAAAATTTTCACTTGCAACTTACTGTGAAATTCTTTCTTCTACAAGAATGGATTTCAGAGGTGGTGAGCTAGGTTCAAACCCATGCAATACCTCAAAATATTTTTGCACATAAAGTTGCATGCATTACAAGAGAGACAGCATGGATGGTTGATGGTGCTGCTGATTGGCTGCATTTCATCTTGATTAGTAGTTCAAAATTAGGGATGGTGGCAGTTAGCTTTCATAGCTTTGCCATAAGTACAAATATTTTCTTCTACAGCAATAAATCGGAATTCTGTACAGCTCTAAGTACATATATACTTTCTGTCATCTACATGTACATTGATATGTAGTGGCTGAGTGTTGTTCTTCCTGCAGTTAAGCACCCAATTCTAAAGTATTATAAAAAACATCATTCAATATGGTACCTATACCCTAAAACCCAAGGATGTTGGTTAGCCCTGGTGTAGAGCTCTGAATCTCAGAGATGGCAGATCATGTTCACTTCCATGTGATACCACAATATATTCTCCACACTTTAAGTTGTGGTTGCACTATAAAAATGACAGTCAATCTTTCAGCATGGTTGGTTGCTGCTGATTGGTTGCCTTCCCTGTGGTCAGTAATTCAAAATTAGAGATAATGGAATATAAATTTAGTAGCTTTGTCATAAATATAAAATGAAAAACATAAAATATTTATGTGCACCAAACTCTTAACTGTTTGAAACATGTGCATAAACAGTTTATCACATATATAAAAAGTTAATTGCCATTCTATATCTTCTTTCATAACTAAATAAATATACCAAGTCAGGTGTTCTCAAACTGTAATATATGATCACTTGGCAGCCATGAAAGAGTTGGGATGTAACAAATTTCTTTAAAGTTGTTTTTTACCCTTCTTAAAATTAACTTAAATTAATATACAATAAAATAATATAGAACAAAATACAAACATATTAGGATCAAGTTGTTGCTTCTAGCTGATATTTTTACCACTAAATATCTACAGATTTCTGAGCAAGCTTTTAACGTGATATACATTATGAAGGTTGTGATTGTGGTAAGCAACAGGATAGTTGTTCAAACTTAAATATATTATCTGCAGTCTAAAACAGCCTCCAAAAAAAACGTATTTTAATTTTGTGTTTTGTTTGGGCTATCTGCTATGGCCATTGCAGGGAATCAAACTCAAACCCAGGATTTTAGTATTGTAAGACCATAAACGTACCACTGACCCAACAGGGGAATTAATGTAAGAAAAATCTAGAAGTATAAGACTAAATGTAGTGGTAGCCTAACAATATCATCCTTTGTGGTTAAAAAAAAAAAGTTTCAGATTTTAGCCTGTTGGAAATATTTTGTAGTTATCACTTAAACTGTGGTTGCAGGATTGTCTCAATGCTTATTTCATATCAACTTACACTGAAGTTATTAATCTAAACTCATACTTACTGACTGAAGTGTAATATATATTATATGTGGAAGATGCCTCATATAATGTGTATTTTTCACAAATGTTTTGGTCACATGTATTTACAGATTTTCCTAACAAGAAGAAATAAATAGAATTATCTCAATACATTATAATAAACAAAAAATCTGTACATTAACTAAGATTTGTCTAAGTGCCTTATCTTTACATTAAAACCATTTTCAATTATTTATTATAAATTTACTAAAATAAGTAAACTGTAAAATATTTTGAAGAAAGGTTATTTTAGTAAGTGATAAAACTACTCAGAATATGTTTTTGTCCGTAACTTGTTCATAGAATTGGGAGATAAGAGGACTGCATCAGAAGAAGTCTTAACTACAACTATCCTAGTCCTCATCGTCAGTTTATTAGTTAACTGTAAAATCCAAATGATAATACTGTCTGTGAAATTACGGTGTGAATTTTTAATATACAGTTTACTAACATTTTATATAATTCTCAGTTTAAAGTTATCCTGGAAAGTGTCAGTGGAAAAAATCTTTTAAAGAAAAAAGTAATAAGACTTTAGGCTTTTAATTTTAGTATTAGGAGTTAATAACTTAAATGAGCTGACTGTTATTAGCATAATGTTTTGTATAGATGGTATCAGTATATTTTCCTTTTCTTCCAACTACTTTGTTATTGCACAAATGTAAGGTAGTGGCTCATGAGATATCAAAAATCTTGCTCTTATGGTAAAAAATTTTATTGAGTTTTTACTTTCATAAAATAACATCAGATACATAAAATAAGAACACATTAAAGGACACCGCTTTTAATATGATACTGTTAGCTACATCCTAAATGTGTGCCCTGCATTTTCTTTATACATATTCAGGATTTGCTTCAAGCAATGATCAATCTTCAATTTTAGGATGATTGTAAGAAAAATCATCATACTTATATTTTAATTGTTAATGTTGGTTTTTAAATCGGGATCCCACACCATGGCTCTGCTGAAGAAGACGATATTGTCGATCATTCGGTGAAGCTCTATGGCAATAACAAACAGAAAATGACATAATTCAAGTGAAAGCTATAAAATAAGTTGTGTTTTTCAAAATACATTGTTTAACACTTATTAATTCACAATCAACATTCAACATTTGGAAAAAGATAAAAGAGTAACTAAAGTCTTGAAATGTAAATGATAATTAGACCTAATAAAAAACAGGGACTTACAACTGCTATGAATGTTCAGGCTTTCTTTTTAGTGTTCAAAATCTAATAACTCAAATGTCCAGTAAATGTGTATCATGTTTCTGAAAGAAGCTATTACTGATTTAATGAAAACATTATATTGCTTTTCTGAAGTATTAACAGAAGCAACTACCAGTATAAGCAGTTTTCAAAATTATTTTCATAAAAAAATACTAAAAATTAACCTCCACAGTTTTGAAACAAGTGCTAAATACATAAAGGCTTATGTTGAAGAATGAATGGTTATATGAAAATGAAACTGCTGCCAAGGTTTATAGCATATTACTTTATAAAAATTGTCTTTTCTACATTCTTAATACCATATAGTTAAAGTAGTAATGTAATAGTGTGGTATGCACATCTCACTCTTCTATACAGTTCATATAAAAAAAAAGTGAATCTAGTCAACTTGCTCATTCAACCCTAGGTGTTACTTTCTGTATCAGGATTTGGTCAAGGAATCTACTTCATAGAATAATTGTATTATATCATATAGTATAATGTGTGTGTGTGTGTGTGTGAGGGACTGCTTTATTAATGAAATTGATTAGCTGAAAAGGAAATTTGTATCATGAGAGCAGTTTGGCATTTTAGCCAGATTCATTTCTTATACAAATAGAGCCAGTACTTGCTTGTGAAGTCTTGAAAACATTTTCTTTGAACATTCAGCCTTCTAGTGATACACATACTTTTTTCTTTTAGTTAATAATCTAAATAGTTTTCAGTTTATGTCCAAGATTATTTTATTTACTTTTCCTCTAAACACAGTTTATTCATTCATTTTATTTAAACTATTTGACTTCATCAATTCTTTAAAAATGGAATAATCCTTTCCAGCAGACAAGAAGCCTTTGTCCAGTTCATCATCTGCTTATCTAAAAAAATATGTTGTAGAATTTTGTTCACCTTCACAGAGTGTTTTGTTTCTTTCATTCCACCTACAACAGATCCTACCTACAGTTATCTTACCAAGTATTAGATCCTCAAAACATTGATGAAAAGATCCAGTAACCATGTACTTCTTCCATCCCAAACCTTTGAAATATTACAAATTACCTTAATCAAGTTGAGCTGTGTCTTAGATTTTTCTAAGTTATTTCTTTCTCGTCTTCTAAGTGAGACACTACCTGACAGATGTCTGCATTCCTGTAAAATGTAGGACAGATAGGAAGAAAGTTAAAATGAATAATTCAGAGAAATCCTGCATTGAATGTAAGTGCTTGCCAACACTTCAGCAAGCATTCTAAAGATTTTCAGTACCATGATAACTGAAGAGCAACTTGGTTTACCCAGGAACACATATGTCAATTGCTCTTAAGCAGAGCAAGTCCAAGGATGTCAATGCAAAACTGCCATGAAAGTGTAAATAATAACAGCCATACTAAGACCCATTGTTTGCCTGTACAGCAAGCTATGTAGATTTGGAATCCAGTGCTAATGAGACCCATGCTGAATATAACCTTTAACGTAGCTGTAGAAGGTGGATGATTTCTGCAAACCTGACCCTGTCACACAACAAGATATCATACCAAGTGTGTAATATACTCTGAACCAACCAAGTGGCCTCCTGTGAAGAGAAGGTAAATGTTGATACCATGCAACAACATGAACCTTTTGCTCAAGCAAATTTGAACAATTATGTGGTTGCCATGAGAATATTATGATCAAGAGAGCACATGGGAAAATTTGAATATTCAGAAAAACATGGGTATTTCAGCTGCTATATAGACAGAGTTCATGCCTATACTAACATGGCTAACAGGATGTAGTGGGATGAAACAAATTAAGGCAGAGGGTGTCTCGTGAAGCAATTTTACAAGGTTGCTGTTGAAAATTCTTGAACTCAGGACTAAATAATGTAGCATTTGATGCTTAGCTTGAATGGTCTAGCATGTAATGTCATGGAATACTTGAAACCAGATCAACTCTGCAGCTGGAAAGCTGCTGTAGAAGAGTTGTGTCATTGCTTCAACTCATAAAGTATAACATAGCATGACAGCAACCGAACGGATATATACATTATTGTCAATAAGTTTGTGGATAGATTTCCTTGGTACGTCCACGCAATACCACTTGAAAGAAACATTATGTATTTACCTGAAGCTGTGTCAGTAACAATAAGATACAAGATAATAACCTCAACTAAGTCACAGGATCTGAAAAAGCCTGCAGTGGCAGCTGTAGTTGCTCTACCAACAATGTAACAATGCTTGCTATAACTATGTAAAATGCCACAAGATTTTATGACTAATAAACAGCCCAAGTGATAAGCAACAAGCTTGTGTGTGTGTGGGGGTGGGGGGGGGGGAGTAGTCCATAACTTCAGTCAGATCTGGACACAGTTGTGTACGACTGTTTCTTCAAATGAGGTATTTGGTTCAGCATCTGTAGATCCAAGCATGACTTGTTATGTGTTGGTGAATGCACATGCTTACCACTGTCATGTAAATCCACCACTCTGGCCAATAAATACAGATTTTCCCTTGCCAGTGATGATAAAGTTGCAGTGAATAGAGAAGCTTGACTATACATCATTGTTGTTGCAATGACTAAGTATGCAAGTTATTATTATGGACCTTTTGGATGACTTATATAAGTTATCTGCAAGTACAACCTATGAACCAGATGTACCACAGTTTTAAGTGCATATAAATGATGTCATTACAATTCCATTTAGTATACAAGAAGCATTTTTCAAACACAATCTCAGGTTGCAACATCTGCTGATGCTGTGGTAGAAGCAATACCTAAGACCCACAGTTTTCTTTTCAAGAACCAGCTGTGCTTGCTTGGACAGTTAACTCTCCAAGAACAAGAAATGTTTCAGCAAAAGTTTGGAACTATTGTAAACAAAGATTAACAATAACTGTTGAATGATCAGTAGCATGGTGGATGAAGAAGTGACTGAAACTAGCAGTGCAGCTAGTGTTGCTTTAGCACATCTCAGGTCATATGCCAATGATTCTCCTGACAGTTTCAGTTTGGTTCGTTAGTTTGTTTTGAATTTTACACAAAACTACACGAGGGCTATCTGCACTAGCCATCCCTAATTTACCAGTGTAACCACCTGGCCATGCTGGGCCATTTCAGTTTGGACCAGTACACAAAACTCATGAAATTACTGATGGAATTTGCTGATGTACTTGTTGAAACATATGGTTATCTAGAAAGCAAAAACAACACCCAGCATCATATAGATGCCAGAGTAATCATATGAAAGGAATGTATAATGAAGTTGTGTGGATTTTCAAGTGGTTGATCGAACTCATTTTACATGATTTTAGCAGAAGCATAGCCTAATTTATTGTAATGACATTTTGATGTTTGGTTACTTGTTTTAGTCTGTACATAGAACATGGTATTTTAACTTTTGTGACGAGCATATTTGAAACTGAAGTCAAAGAAATGCTCTCTCATGTGGGCACTTGTAAAGTTTATTGAACATATATTGAGTAGGGACAAATTGTCTAGAGATCCTACTGAAATAAAAGCAGTGATATTATATATGTAAGTAAGGTAAATTTTGTTCTTTTTTTTAATATTACTTTCACTAATAGTATAGGTTTAATGTATCTACTTTTAATATTTGTAATTATTACATTTTTATCATAGAGATTATTTTGCATTGTTAGCTTAGTATATGGACTTAGAACTAATCTTAATCTTCTAAGCTGATTGAACATTGTGAGATATTATTGGCCAAAAATATCATTAACAGCAACAGTACCCAACTGATGAAACAATGTATTATAATCATTATGAGTAAGAACGTAAAAACAATATATTTAATTAGCTATACTGATTATCAGGTTTATTTTTATTTTTCACCTAAGTAGGAAGCTTACTCTGAATGGAAGTTAACAGTAATGCTGTTCTCAAAACCTGTTAATGTTTGAAAGAGAAATAATGGTCCTAGTAGATTTCATGTACAAAACTCCACTTGGCACAGAGTTCCAAGAATACCTACTGATTCAAACAAGTTTGTACATAAAAAAATAAAATGACCAAGAGAAAGAAAAGATATGATAAGATGGTGAAAGAACATCAGTTTGAGTAAGGAGATTAGGTATGGCTCTGGTATGCACGAGCAATACATAAACCACTTAGATCTGACTGAACTGGACCTTATCATGTGCTTAAGCAACTCAATCCATGAAACTGCAAAATTCAGTGGTTGTTTAGTACATAAAAGCACATATAACACATTGATAAACTTTCTCATCCCTTGTTGGCTGATGAGGGAACCAGGAGCTTACAACAAAACCCCAACCACTATGCCAGTATAGTTTGATTTCAAGTCAGTGGTGTGTCAGGGATATCATTGTTAGGCCCAAGCTACTAGACTGACTGCTGCCTGAGTTTTAACACTGTATGGAAAAGATCAACACCAGGAGAAGGAAAATGGAAACACCAAATTAGATGAGAACTTTATTGGGCTATAAAAGAATTAGCCATTACCAAGTGTAAATTGGCTTGGGCTACAAGTGAAGTCACCAGTTTGGAAGAAAAGAAGTCCACTGCCACCCTGGAAAACGTATTAACCACTTAGAGTATACCTGCAGGAGCTTCAATATGTGAAACATTTTCTAAATTTAATATTTTTAATGCATTTTTCTGTAATATCTTCTTTTTTTTCATTATGAACAATGTTTTAGTTATGTATTGTGTGTATGCTGCTGATAATTATTTTATTTTAGCATATAAAGATTGATATTATTACATATTAATGGGAATTTTTTGTGTGTATACATATTTATATATTTGGTTTAATGAGATATTTTTATAATACAAAAATTAGCTTGCAACAACCATTTTGTTCTTTAAAAATATTTAAGAAAAAATGTTAGCATTAAACTTACAAAATTATTGTCTTACTTCACAATCTTTGCATTAATTCTGAGTTAAAGAGCAAACTTATCTATAAAATACCTATACAACTCACTGAACAATCTCTATGTTATCAAGAACCCATTGATCTGTTCCTGGCCCATCATGAACAGGCTGCCACCAGCGAATCTTAGTTCCATACACTCGAGCTTCTTCTGGAATGGTGTATACAAGACGTCTTGGCTGTTTGGGAGATGTAATTTTTGTTTTGTTTTGGTTAAAATTTCTCACAAATCTGATAATAATTTTCTAAAATATCCCGAAAATCTTCTGTATTTTCACCATTTCTATATAATTAAGGCCAATTTTGTTCTTCCACTTTTGTAAATTGTACTATTTTATGGTATTTTGTCTCAAAATTCATACATTCTTGCTTTAAATGCACACAAAGTGTACAAAGCAAATGCTACAAGTAAATATTTGCATATAAAGTTACTTGTTCAGATTAGTCTGAGCCCAGTCTTTCTACCTGTGTGTATTTAAACAACCTTTAAGTTTTTTCAATGGATACAGAATTAAACCTGAAAAAGGATGATTTATTACAATAAAAAATAAGTCTTGATGAAAGGAAGTCAAGTTTTAAGATAAATGCAAAAAACATTATATTCCAAGAATAAGAAATACATATAGCTTGATTGTATAAAATCCTTAGGGTATGAGAAGTGACTTTTGTTACAATATCACAGCCTCCAAAAATTATAATGTTATCTGGGTGAATTTTCATCCTATACTTTGGTATCTAATTCAACTTAAGTACAAGAGAAATAGGAAAGTTACTTGTAGCATAACTGTTAATAACCATTTACTATTGTATTATGGAAGATTATCACACTTTGGATGACTAGAAAGTATTAGTAATAGTTTTTTTGAGCTAATTTGAATATTTCCCACAGAAGAGTCAATGCTGGCTTAAAATGGACCATATTTAACAACAAAGAAACAACAGAGCTTTTGGCATAGTGCTGATCAAAACAGTTTGCTTGCAAATAATAGATAACAGAATCATATTAAGACCATGACATGCCTAGATGGCACATAGGATCAATAGCACAAGTATGTGAAACTGATGACACATTCTTCCCAGCTACCTGCTGTTACCCATTATACAGCTGAATAGATTGAAGCAATTTGGATAAAGTGTTTTAATGCAATCTTATGATGCATCAACAAGTGAACTGAAATTTTAGAAAAAAAAACAACAGAATAAAAGCATGCTGAAAAGCAATACCTGAAGAAAATCCTCTGGAAGATGAGATGCAATAACACGCCAGTTGACCCCGTTGTCCACACTATACTGTAGAAGTACTCCTTTGTCTGTTGCAGTGTGAGATTTAAGGTTAATGTGACATGATGATGTTTCTTCAGCACTCCCAATACGTAACACAAACATGATCTTACTGAGTAAAGAAACAAGTTCAGATCATTAAGTTTTTAATACAATTTTCTGTTTAAATATTAGATTTGTAAAATTTCTAAAATAAATATGAAACCAATAATTTTTGTGCATAAATATATATTACAATGCAGTTGTTTTTTATGTTCGTTTTTATAAGCATTATGTATGTTAGTGGTTTTAGATAGCTAAGACACTAGAACACTTTTGTTTGATCTTTTGGATTTGATTAAACCTGGTTTAATACTAAGAAATAAATTTAAGCATGCCTGGTTTCTCAAAATTGGATTTTACCTGGTTGAAGCTGCATCAAGTTCTCGAGTCACAGCCTGACGTATCCCACACCCATCAAAGTACAAATGATGGCCATGGCCATGAGGAGCTAGTGGACCACATTCTTTTCCTAGTCTTCCCCCATCAATATAAAGCCAAACATCTAATTTCAAACCTTCCTCAAAGTCATCCATGAGAAAGGATGGAAACCCATGAGCTCCAAAGACAGCTTTGATTGGCTGACAATCTTCACCTGGAAAAAAAAACAACAAAGTCGACAAATCTACATGAATTCACACATACAGGTATTGTTTAACAGGTGTCTTGAAGATGTAAGCATTATTTATAAATTAAAAAATCTCTCAAGATACATTTTTTTAAACTAATTATTTTCTAATCATAACTACATCGCAAAAAATTTGAACATATGCTAAAAAATAAAAGTTTGAACAGTAGACTTTCGTTTACAGATCATTCCAAAATTTTAATACAGGAATGTAAGGTGTATTAAGGTGTAATATTACTAGTAAATAAAGTAAGTGGAGATTATCAAAAAATTAACTTTCTTCAAAAATTTTTCTTTGTTACACCAAGCTTTTTAACATTGTAATAATTATCTGACAAGTTTTATTATAATAATATCACATTTTTTTTTATAGTTCTTATTATTTGAATCTCGGTAAATGTTTAGAATTCTCTTCAATGTAGTTAATGTTTTGCACTGAGTAGCAATGATGCAGCTCAAAGCTGGTATGTTTCACTTTTCTATCTTTGATTATTTGTTTCCATGAAAGTGTGGTTATCTAATTTTTGCATCTCCTGCATACCCGGACCTCTACCATGTTAGGAAAGTGCTTTACCAACTGAGCTAAGGAGTTAACCTTTTAGTAAGGCACTTTTTAACAACTCACACTACTATAAAACCAAGCACATACATAAGAAAATAACAGTCAAATAATAATAAGGAACAATATTATCAAGAATATGCTAAAGGTAGACAAGTATTATCAAATTATGCAATTACAAAACATATACAAAAAAGTGATTACAAAACAGCACATAACAAGGATAATGTTAAATAGTTATTCATTACTAGATTAAAAGGATACAAAGATTACAAAATGGTTAGTGATTACCCAATTACCTGAAAAGCCATCATCACATACACAACTACCATCAACACAAGATCCATGACCATTACACAAATTTGGACACTTTTCACCAATATACACATCATCGATGGCCCAGTCAGGTGATGGCCGACTTGTGGATAAAATCCAACGGAATTGTGTAGAGCTAAAGAAGATGAAAGATATTGGATCTATGATGTATAATATATTGAACTATTATAGAAAACTGACATTGTGCAAGCACCAAAAATATTTAATTCCTGATTAATTAATCTACAGCTTATCACATCTTTTTTTACAGTAGCTTTCAAAATTTTCACTAGCCCTTTATGAGAAGATTACTAATAAACCTTCAATACTGCTTACATCTTATTGATGATGATCATCTTATAGATGATCTTTTCATCTCCCAAAAATCTTAAATTTTAATACATTAAATACAATCATAAGAATCATCAGAGTGCATATTTAAACTGATTATGGTGATGTGCATTTTCATATCATACAAAGAAAATAATCTTGCATTAGTATCTATACACTCATTTGGTGACTAATTATTCAATAAACATGTAACATTGAAATCCAATAAAATTACATAAAACATATGTGTTAAATAATCTTCTGTACTGTATATTTGAAATGTTTTTAACATTATCAATTTTTCTACATAAAATTTCATACAGAAATGATTAATGTGAAAAGTAACAGAACATAAAATTGGGATAGTCATAAATGATAAATAATTGTAATAAGATGAGAAATTATTATCTTGATTTATGAGGTCTTCTTGGTCTTCATGCGTAGCTAGTACATGTGGGTTTTCAAACAACCAAATTTTGCAGAAAGGAAATGATATAATGAGTGAATTTTTTGTGATCTTGATCATTGACTTTTGAAATAAGCTTAAACTTTATGGAGAACTGTAACTGAATCAAGAATGGGAATGAAGAAGCAATAAATAATGTACCTTTTGATTACTGACATTAGGTATGTACTTATCTTGATTAATATAATTAATTGCATAAACTTTTACATTTATAATTCAATTCATATTATGTGTATAATAAGTAATAAGTGCACTTCTTTCATAATTTAAACTGCACTGTTGAGTTTTTTGTGTCCATAGATTATCTAAAGTAAACAGCCTCCTAAATGTTATTTTTACTATGTTTATAATTATGTCTCCCATAATATAATAGAGATAAAATCTATGCACAGCACATCTCTAAAAATGCTCATGATGGAAGTAATTTCTCAAAAATTTATTAAACTTAGGCAAATTATGGGTGAAATATTTCTATATATATTTCTAATCTTACTATGACGTTTCATCACATTTGATTAGAGATGGGCAAGAAGTGGTATATTCTAATTGATTAATCAATTGCCTCATTAACTGATTAGTATAGTGTTCTTTAAACCATGGTATATACAAGCAAGCAAAAAAACAAAATGTTGGCAGTAGGAATAACTGAAAACAGTATTAACTGGAAACTTCTTTTGATTAATTGATTTAATCATAACTTCAATCATTCGATTTGTTTACATGACACTGATCAATGTAATCACTACTCATAGGTAACAGATTAAATCACCCAGCTCTATACTTAATACTTTTAAATGGATAATGTTTGACCATCTTTGATATTACAAAGCTTAAACCTTATATACTCTTGCATATCCCTTATTAATCACAACAAATATGAGTAGAAAACAAAAATATGATATAAAGTTATTACTTGGTTGTTGGTTACAGTACTTTACCTTGAAAATGTTTTATCAGGTAGCAGAAGACTGACTCTTGTCCATTTACTATGGGTGTTTGCAGAGTATTGACTAGCACTGTGATAAGAATAAGGCAGACACTCTGGGTCTAGGGAATTACTTGGCAGGCATGCTTTACTAACCAAATCCCAAGAACCTGCAATAAAATGGTCTGTTTCTAAGTTGTCATTCTCAGAATAATTCAATTAAATAGATGTGTATATTTTTGGAAAAACTGATACTGAAAAATATTCAAACAAATCACTCAGTTTACGAAATGTCATAATCTGCAAATTAGCACACTGTTTTCACACTAAACAAGGTCATGGTGTAAGACTGTCAAAAAAAAGTCCACTTAAGTTTTCATCTTGATATCTTGACTATTAAGAATGAGCCTTTAGTAACTTTTAATCATTTTTTGAGAAGCTATGGTAAGAAATGTATAACAATTATCCTAATAGTTTGAATGGAAATGTGGGTAATTGAAGAGGTTTCACTTTATCACTAAGTAAGTAGTATAACAAGTTCATGATTCCTTATCTTGACTGATAAGCCAATTCTTCAAAAGTACTTCTAGTTATTAAGTAGAAATATTAAGAAACATTTCAAAAGAATTATACTGATATACACTATTTTCTTAATATGGTTTCCACCATAACACTGCAGGCATATTATATTTTATAAAGTTTATTTTACATTTTTAGATCTATTCTTCTGTGAATGTTTTTTTTGCACATTAAAGTACACTGAGTGGTCACAAGTAAATAGACACCTAATTTTTCGTCATATAACTAATTTATGATAACTAATTTGTGTTCACAGAGCACTATATAAATGAAAATGGTCCGCACACTAATTATCTTGTGCTACAAGATAATTTTTGCCTAGAACTCAAGGTTCTCTCGAATTGTCAGATTTTGTTAGAGGAAGAATAGTTGGTCAAGCAGATGGTGGAACTAGTCAGTGGCAAATTTCGCAGAATTTGGGAATCACGCTTTCGACAGTCAACAGAATAATCATGCAGTTCAGGAAACATGGCAAGGAAACAACTGAGCAGCGTCCGGGTCATCCTGGTCCATCGGAGAAGAAAAAAGGGCTGTCAAGAGGAGCATCGAAATGGATTCCAGATTAACGACTGCAAAAGTGGCCAAAATTGGTGGGATAAGCCCGAAATCTGTTCAACGAATTCTCCACTGATTGGGTTATTGTTGCAGAGCAGCTAGACAGAAGCCCTTATTAAGACCTGCCAACATAGTCAAACGAAAGAAGTGGACAAGTGATATAATGACCAAGCCTCTGAACTTTTGGAAGACTGTATT